CATTGGTTTTCATTTCAATTTTCAAATGACTAAGGTCAGGTCAAATTTTTATTAGACCACAACTTCACGCCACTAATTTTATAATTTTTATATTATAAAAAAAAAATACAAAAATATATAAATTTTTTTTTTTGCACAAAATGAATCTTATAGGCTCTCTAATCGAAGTAAATTATTGGGTTTTTTTTTTTATTGTTCCTTGTTATCTTTCTCGCCTAAAATTCATTGCTATTTGTGCTAAATAGTGAAAGCCTTTATCTTCTGCGCTATCCTGCCATACTAAGTCCTTTTTTAAATTTTTAATTTTCATTATATTTTTCATAATAAAAAAATTATCAATATGAAATCCTTTGGGTATTCTAAGTTAGTTAGGAATACTTTATGGTATTGAATGTACAATATATGTATGCAGCTATAGGTGAGAAGCGGAATAACAAATTTTGATGATATAAATTGTTGGAAATCGTAAAAAAGGTTGCACATACGTAGCTATATAAAAGTAAAGCATCTAAAGAGTGCAGTCTTCCACTAAATGGAATGCATCTTATGCAAACTGTTTGTATGACTTAAAAGACTATTTTCGCGAAATTCTAGAATTGCGTGCTATTAGAAGAAGCAAAAGTAGTGGCCTCATCACTAAATACCTTACCGCACTTCATTTGATACAATTATCCATATAACGTTTTTCCCAAATAATGCTTTGCGAAGGAGGTTCCAATCGTTTTCAATAATATCCGTTCTTAAGCCGAAACCCGTCGAAGTTAAATTTCATCTTCGAATATTTCAAAAATTGCAAATTATAGGTTGAACACAAGAATGTAGGACGAACAGACAAGTTCAGAATCACTTTTTAAATCGACGGAATAATACAAAGTTAATTTATTTCAGTTCCTTCTGGTTATACATAATATTACAAACTTATTGAGAAGTTGTTTACCACAAGTGGTGTAGGATGTAAAAACGTTTTCAAAATTTTCGATTTATTTTAACGTTTGCATTAGTCTCTTTTTTGGCTACTATGTCTGTTTCAGCTGATAAAAATATTTATAAATGATAAATATAAGTTTTCTGAAATTATGCACTTGCTCAACGAGCCTAGTATGTAATGAATGTATGTGTTTGGGACAAATTGTCTTAAAAATTTTAAAATTTGAGTTATAATTGAGTTCGTTTAATTTTTGCAAAGATACTTTACTTTATAGTCCAACAGATGCTCATTTACTGGGCTTTTAAAGCAGGGCAACTGCTTAGAACTACATTACTCCTCCGCAGCTGGTCGTCGGTTATGTCAAGGAATGTTCTATGATTTTCTTGCGAATTCATTAGTTTTATTATATGTTAAAAATTTTAGCATCAATAACAACAATATGTTATCTGAAACTATTATTCTTTATCTTGCATATTCATATTCCATTATTTCTTTACGAAGTAAATACATTAAATATTTTCATTACCACATAGAAGGTAACTGTGGCAGATATATTTTGCACCTGTCTTCTCATTTCTTCTTTTTCTTCTTCTTCTTCTTCTCCGGTAGCAAATACTAAGTGTCCAAAAAGTGCCCTAATGTATATCTTTGTATTATAACCTTCTTCACTACAAAATGAATCGTAGTAAGAAAACAATTCGTTGGGTAAAAAAGAAAAGAGGAGACTTTCTCTGGAAGCGCAATATAAACATTAAGTCACCAAGCTTTTTGTACAAGCATTACTCCGAACTTTTTTCCGTTGTTGATGAGTTATAATAAATGGTCTTCAAAGCGATTAGTTTACATTATGGCTGCAGTTAATTGCTTCTAACTTCCGTTTAAACTTTTAATCTTCAGATGTTTTCAGGCTGACACAGATTTCTTTATGAGTGAGCGAAAATGGTAATAAATGTCAATGATTGTTGATTAATTAAAATATTTGAAAATATTTTTCATAAAAGAAATGGTGTCAAGTTTAAAAGAAAGGCGCCTTTTAAGTTCATTTTATACACTTCTTGAAAAAAAAAAAATTAACTCTCTTTTGCGAAAACAAATAATAAATTTTGATTATAGCTCTGTGAAATAGATATCATAGACTTCGAAAAGATTTATTCACTCTCGAGACGCTTTCGACAAAATGCGTGAATCAATTTAATCACATCATGTGTTTATTTGACTTTCAGGTTCCATGTTTCAAGTGAAAAGGCAAATAGCAAATATTTAATATAAAATTTGCCACAAGCGTCCTAACAAAATTGTTATTTGTAAGAATTTTAAAAGAGGTCTATTTGTATAACGTATGTGTATAGGTTCTTCGTCGTAAATATACTTTCGATCTGTTTCGATCAAAGTCTCTATTTTTTGGATCTTTGAAAATGATTTGCTCACTACATTGCTGTCTACATTAAATATGTATCCGGAATCCTGTAAACGCTACGTCTACTTATTAATATGCTTGAAATATTCTAGAGTCTGTCTATCCAATATATTCTGCTCTAAGTGTTTTATTTCCCTACATTTTGTGCATGGATTTTCTTATGATCCCGTGCATGTCTAATCCTCATATTTCTACATATACTCAAGATTTTCAGATAATAACGCGAGTTTACTATAGTTAAACCTAATACCATTTGTGGTGAAGGACATGTTAAGTTTGCATGTGTATATATAATACCCAGGACGACTTAAGATAAATAAATTTTTAATATATCGATTAATTTGTAGTCGTTTTCTGAATCAATTTAAGTTTGTTTACCTGTCTGTCTCTCTATCCGTCCATCTGTTTGTCTGTCAGCTTTATGCCTGTCCACGTAACTTTCTGTTCAATTTACGGTCACAATTCGGTTCAATGACGAGCCCTACTGAAAACGATTTGGATAAGTCTATTTGCATGTCCACCCTCCATTGAACGCCTTTTTACGGAAAAATTTGGGATTTTCAAAATTTATAGTTAAAAATCGTTGAAAATTAATATTTTAGTATGACAGAAATTTGGATCGCGTAGGCCAATTGTTTAAACTTTCCTCCATACAACCCAAAAATAAGCCTGTATCTTGCAAAAAAATGTAGTCTCTAATATTCTTTAATGAAAACTTGTTTGTTATAGTTATTGGACATAAGAATAGACTTTACCAAATTTCGATTGGATGGGTCTGTCTTTTGGGATGCATCGAATATTTTTCTTTGACATTTATCCTGATAGTAAATGAAGAGTAATTTCGTGCGAAAGAGTGTATGGCATTTAATTGCCCATTTTATCCAACTATATCGGTTTATTTCGTATTTAACTTATCCAACCAAAGAGTTTAATTTCTTTAGGTTAGCAGCCTCCGAACTTGTATCTATGTCAAACTTCAAGGCAACATCTTTCTCTTCAATCAAATCAAAATGATTTCCTTAAGCATTTCATTGAATTTTAGAAAAAACTTATTAACTATTATTGACATGCAATTTAACACAAATGTCAGTTAAAATGCTGTTAACATAAATAAAAAAAAAAAACAAGAAAACTTCTCCTCTGGATAAGCGAGTACGATTTAATAGAGAAGTGTCAGTACATTCTAATTACGCGTTAGCTTATTCAACTCCAGCGACTATCACGCATTTAACGCACTCATTTTTGCCTTTTGTTGCAAAGCTATTAAAAAAACGTATAAAGAATCAAAATCAATTTACACATTTCGAAGTCAAAATCGCCTTCAGATATTCCTGACAGATAGACGAAGTAGATGGCAGAGAGTAGAGGAAAATTGACGAATCTACACAGGAAGTTTAAACTTTCGTGCTTCAGTTCATAGACAAAGCGTTAAAATAAGTTCGCTGATGTACATTTCCTTAAATATCTAAAAATCGGCAATTTCTTTAAAATCTTAACAAACCTTGGTCTAAATTCGGTAATAGACTTGCAAAAATTTTTTACGTAGGGTACAGAAAAGCTGTAAACGGTTTTCTCTTGCTCTTAACAAAGGTTGGATTCTCTTCGAGTACGATCGTCGTATTTTCATAATATATATTTACATTCGTATGCGAGAAGAACTTCACTTTGCTTAAAGTTGATTTTTTCGTTTTCGATCTTCTCAAAAATCTCCAAAAAAAAAATATATATATATTTTAATAATTGTTGAATTGATTATTAAAAAGTAAATTATTATTTATTTGGTAATTTTTGCTTTGATTTCTTAATTATTACTTTAAAATCAAATCAAATGTGAAAATCACAAAAAAATTTGGAAAATAGAAAAAACAACACAACACTTTAACAATTATTGCATAGCATTTTTAAAATACAATTTTGACTTAAATATAATTCATTGTTAGTGTAGGCAATGAATAAGTAATGAAAAAAAATCCGACTCAAACGTTACGTATGATGCAACGTGGAAATGTTCATAAGCCCCAAATAAAGCAAAAATTGCATTGCATTCGTTCGAAAACAAAATAGATATTTTTCGTTATTCGTTTTTCACGTGTTTTCGCTTTCAAAGTCCAAAGGTGAACAAAATATCTTTGGTATGGCTAAAAAATGTGTGAAACAACGTAAAGAACTTGTGCTCTTTTTAAGAATGTACGAGTGTCGATGTTGGTAGTCATAAGTAACTTATAAGAAAAGCTAAATAAAAGTTATATATAAAATATTAGGGAATTGAGAACATAATATAATTATGTCAAATAATATATATAAATGTATATAGAAGTATGTTGTATGTTATAAATGTGAATTCCTTATTATTATATTTATTTATGAATTTTCATTTCATCGTTTTTTTGTGAAAACAATGCATCGCGTTTATTGAATCAAGAATTTTATAAAGAGAATTTTACAATGGAGATCGCCTATTACCTCAGAAGCGCAATGTACCACGTGTATGTGAGTATTTTATTTGCTCTTTCTCTTCTTTTTGCATTTTTTATCCCCTTGCTTTATTTACTTGTTATTGTTTTTATTTAATAAAAGATTCATGTAGGCTTTGTGCAAAAGATCTTTCCATTGCTCACAGCAGCGAATATTTATTTGCATTCAATAAATGCTTACCTTAAATATAAATTGTCCCATGTCAGAAGCACGTTCATTGGCTGAGCCAGAGGCTCGCTTAAAGCAATGCAAATAGTCACGTGTCAAAACGAAATATCTGCAAAATAAATTAAAAATTTTATTAAGTTTTTATAAAATTGAAAAAGACGGTAGAGTGTTATCAGAAGATATGTTGAAAAGAAGACCACTTTAATATATTCTTCCAAAAAGTATTGCTATGTGTCAATTACGAGGTTTCATTGGGACCTATTAGTTCTTAGTACAAGGCGTCCAAAAACATGGCTCATGAAAAAGTGTTACTTGAACGGGATAAAACATTTCACGATAGTTTTGAAATCGAAAAATACGAATTGTTATAGCCGAGATTCTCCTTTTATTGCTCTGCTTGGAATGTTGAAAAGTGGATTTAAATGAAAAATTTTTAGTATATTTTATTAAAACTTGTAGAAGATTTTTTTGTCGATCTACATGGTTCCGGGATTATAAATGCTCGGGAAGTTATTATGCTCCAGTTTTTTTAAGTTACTTTTGGGAAAAGTTAAGGCGTATTTTTTAACTTTTTATGTGAAATGCGTTTACTTTACAACGAAAGCTTTCGCCTTTTAAAAATTCAAATCAAGTCGATGGAAGCCAATTCTATTCATATCCATCACCAAGAGATTAGTGTATTCTCATCTTGTTCAAGACATTTGTAACACCCAGACCGAAGCTTTACAACCTGAACTGATCTGGCATGTCTTTTTATCCATCTAACCGGATGTCCGTCTGTGTGAATAGGTATAGTAAACAGTCCTGGCCGTTAAGACAACAATGCAAATTGACATCTCTTCGCTTCTTTCGCTTATTATTCGCAAATTACGAAAGGGAAACTTTCCATGTACATCTCAGGGACTATTCTACAGTGATTGCACACAAATGTGAAAAATCAACTATGCATATCGAATATTATCGAGAGTCGAAATATGATCATTGTATTCTGCACCACTTATATGCGGCACTCAGACATAAATTTTATGTCGATCACAAAATGATTATAAGCTTGTCTGTCCGTCATGTTTACTTGTTCAATTTACACTGACTTTTTTTAGTTTAAGGACAAACGCTATTGAAAATGGTTGAGATCGTACCACTTTTTTGTTCACCTTCCGTACGACGCAATTATTTCGCAAAATCCTTATATGAACAATTCAAGGATGTTGCAGAATAAAGGATGCTGGGCCGTGGCCCACTATAATATTTTTGCTTATTTTTTGTTTTTTTAAGAAAAATGTGATTTTAATTTTCTTATTTTACTTGGTTTTTAATGTGAAGTGGTTCTTAGAACTCTTTTTAAAACCTGTTTTTGTATTATTGCTTGTGCTATTACTTCTCGAAGCATTTTAACGAAAATTCAGCCGAGAATTTTTATTCAAACTTATATTTTTTTCAATTTCATTTTTCTAATCGCTAAAAAGGCAATATTACCTTTTAAGAACTAAGTTGTGAACTTTTGTTCTGAATTCATTCATGAAAGACCAATTAATTTATTGAATATTGTTTTGCGTTAAACAATTGCTTTAATTTTATGTCTTATTTTCATGAGTAAGAAGAATTATCGGTTTGCGGAACTCTTCATTGATAGCTTTTAAAGAAAAACTACTTCTCTACGAGCGTGTCCCTTGAGTGCGATTTTCTTTCGCAGATACTTTTTATTTCTAATAGGTACGGACTAAAACGTTCATTTCATTCGTATACATTTTTCATTTTCATTAGTATACGTTGTTCAGATATGAATTTTATAGATTCAGTTCATAGTTCTCAAGCTACTCATTTAGACTAGAAATGTTAAAGCAATTTTTCACAATAATAAGACAAATGCCCAGTCTCTACTATAGATTACATTCATTATTTATTACTTTCAAGAATATTTTCATTATGAAAAGCAAACCATATTTTTTATCGCGTAGATATAAGTACCAAAGAATTCATAAAATGTACGCATTCGTACGAAGTCATGAGTCTATAACCTAACATTTTCCTACCTTCCTTTCTTAATTTTCGACTTAATATACGTATCCTGTATATAAACCTACCCTATGTGATAATAATGATTATCATAAATGTATCCCAATATTTCCTTCATGCTTTTCATCTTAACTTCCAAGCTTTTTAATTTACGTAACTTGCTTTCTTTCGTGATTTTTATATATCATATCAACTGACCTCAATTTTTATGATCTTTCAAAGAGTGCATATATGATGCCTATACTGTAAATCCACACTTAAGTGCAAGTGTTGTTTAATAAAGTTTTCTCAATTAGTTTAATTATATATATTAAAAAAAGCATTAAAATAATAACTCTCATACGTCTTAACTTCTTATTGCAAATGTATTTATATAGACTTAAAACAAGCCTACCTTTCTTTCCAACGAGAAAATAAACGATCACGTTGTTGCCACAGCAGGCCACGTTTAATTGGGCCCGTCATCGATGATACTGGTATGCGTCCAGCTAACAATGATTGCTATAATGGGAAACGAAAGTAAAGCAAATTATTAAAAATTAAAAAACATAAACAAAAATACGATAACGTGTAATAAATAACAAAGTAATATTTTAACTAATACGTATAAACAGAATATAAAGAGATTTAATAAATAACACCAGATGCGCACATCAATGTGTGTACAACATATAATTAAAAAAATTTTTACTATACGCAAAAAAGATTTACATCTTGAGCAGACATCAATCAAACAGAGTAAGAGCAAAGTGCCAACACAAAAAGCTCCCGTGGGTTTAATGACAGCTATAGCATAATCACCCGTGCAATAGCATTACATCAGTATAAAATGGCACTTTTGTTACCATAAAGTTCATTGTAGATTATAAACATAAGCCTACATTGTTAGAACCTATTGACTGTATGTTGGACTGAAAAGCGCAGCTTATAATTAAGTTTAATAAATGCGACCAAAATTAAGGAGAAACCATTTCCAAGTTTTATTATTCTATTTTAAGAGAGAACTAAGATTTTTTCATTTAAAAAAAAGAAGTAGAAAACGCAAAAAAAACTTCCGAAGTGAAAGTTAAAAAAAAAAAATGAATTTCATTAAAACAAAATCTTTATATTTTCGTTCATTCTTTTTCTTTATTTTTTATTTTTATTTTATTTTACCCATTTAGACATGAAATTCAACTAAAGAAAATTACAGTCGAATCAAGAGCATCTTAATAGAAAATCTCATACTAATTGTTTTAAAACTGGTATAGAATAAAAAGGAAGAAAAAAAGAAGAAGAATAATAACAAAGTAAGTTTAAAAATAAATTAAAAAGTTGAAAATAATAATTCATGTATAAATATATAAAAAGAGACAAAAAAAGAAGAAAAAACGATTCTTAGATTATAAAAGAAATGCATGACAAATGAGGCCAGACAAAAAGCAAATGTGTTACATTCTAACCATGTTTGACTGATGATCCTTTAGCTTCTGTATGCTACGTACTTTGGTTTATATTTCCCTACAACTTTCAAGATGACAGCCTCTTCTTTTTATGCGATTAATGCCAGATTTAAACTTGATATTGCTGTGTTAATAATAATATAGAAAAATTTGATAGGAAATTTAAAAAGCTCTCTAAATTAAAAATATCAATATCTCGTAGTCGCTGTAGTATAGGAAAGTCATGGCTCACATATAACGTTTTGATTTTTTAAACTAAGGTCATCGGACTGGTAAGGAAAGCTTTGCAAGCTTCAATAAGTCTCCTCTCTGCCGCAAATACGGTATCACTGCTGACAGACTTTTTTAAACGATACAGATGAAAATTCAAGGGGGTGAAGATAAATTTGAATTTAAATTTCAAAAACGCCTACCAATTCCTTTAACAGTGCTCTGTAAACAGCCTAGCAGGGTTCTGTTCAATATTTAGAAATAAAATATGGTTGAATTTGGAAGCCAACTCCGTCAATATCAAAAGGCATAAAATATTTTTGTAGACAACTCAATCTATATGAAAATACCTTTCAAACGAGCTACGAAATTTGAGGCCTTGCTGAAATTAAACGCGGTCGTACAAACATCGATGATGCTAAATAGTCTGGTCGTCATAAGTGTATCCTTCGAAAAGTTTAACTCATTTCGAAATTCTTTTGCAAATTTGTAGGCGATGTCTTTATTTTCCCTAAGAGGAGAATGTTTAGCACTGATGATTAGGGGCATTCCAAATTTGAAACCGGCCAAGAATTCTTTTTTTATGGGGTTTTGAAGCCTGTTTCTGCGCCTTATAAAGGTATTGAGATGCTCTCACTTTACGTATTACTGTAAATGTGTCCTTCGGCTGTTTTGGCCCATTTTCAGTACTAACCTGCGTAAAAGATCTTCCAATATGTGCCAAAATTGAAGAGAATAGCTTCACTTTTGCGGCCAGGAGGATGTTTGGAATAAACATTATACAGACGGACAGACGCATATGCTTAAATCGATTCAGAATTCGGAATATATATTCTGTGGAGTCTGTGAAATGGCCTTCTGGGCGTTGCAAACGTTTTGACATGAATTGAGTGTACCCCCCATCCCTCGGAGATCGGCATAAAAATAAAAACTTTGTTTTATTTCAAAATCCCTTCTATTTTTTCAACCGCAATTCGCGGATATTAACACAAGCATTAAGTTCACATGAGATATTTTTAACTTAATAAGTTTGACAATAGTATAAACAATACTTTAACGTAATTACAATTTGTTGACTGCTTTTAGCAACGCTGTGGTTTATTCCTCTTACGATTTTTCATTTCAGAGAAAAAAAAAAAAATAGTTTTAACAATAATGAACATAAAAAAACTTGCCTTATATATCCTATACAAATATTTTGTCGAAGTGTTTATGTGTATTGCACATGTTTTTATATAATATGGCTTTTTTGCAAAATTTCAACTTTTTAGGCGGAATTTCAATTAATTTATTATTTGCTTTCATTATATTATAGAGCGTATCTATCTATAAAACATATTTTTTCATGTTTTTTTTTATTTTGTTTTTATCTGAGCGTTTTCAATTTTTTTGTTTTTATTTTATCGTGTACTTTGGAATTTTAAAATCACGTGAAAGTTTTGTAAGATTTGAGAATTTTTAGTTTGTTAATTAATTAGTTGAATGAAGCAAAAATGAATTTTAAAAAGGAACCGCTAAATTTAACACGATAATTAGCGCTAATTTAAAATCTTCGTTTATATTGAAGACATTTATGTACGAACATATAGGAGCGATTTTCGATACCCTTTACCTATAGTGAACATTGTACTAGCACCGGCTTAAGAACATTATTAAGAACGTTTTAATAAATATATAGAAGAACATGTATATTTTTCATTTGATTTGAACTTTAATTTCTAAGTACTTGATGAAAATAGCTTAACCATTTCACGCCATTGGTAGCATAGGTTCGGTTTTTTAAATTATAATTGCTGTTATTAATAAAATCAATAAAAATTTAGTAATTCATTATTTACTACAAAATCTCTCAACAGGAAATAGACAAACTTTATGGTTTGCCTCCACTGACGACGGTACTTACCATGTACAATTAGGAGCACGACAATAGCGTAAAGTATTGTTTCGATTGTCAGTATGGTTGGATTATTTGAACAACTCATTAATGTTGAACAAGTAAGGACGGTATCTTCGGCTCGGGCTGAATCTTGTATATCCACTACAATTCATTATATCATGCCGTATGCTTAGGTTTACTTACATAAAGGTGACTGGAATTAATTTTTTTTTCGCCTTTTATTTCACTTAAACTAAAAATAAATATTTTTGTATGATCTGTTGCATATATCCATTGCAAAATCCATACAGTTTTATTTAGAGAAGCAGAGGTTCGTTTAGTTTGCGCTTTATTGTGGGCTTGCGCTTTAATTAATTTGACTCATTTTCACTACCAACCAGTATTGCAGCCAAATTAGAAGCAGATATTTGCGCTCTTGCGACCAGGAGAGTGCCAAGAATATATGCTCTCCACAGACGAACGGACGTAGCTAAATCAGAAGTTTCCTTTTGAGTGTTGCAAACATTATGAAGAATGAATATTCCACCAACCTGCACTTGTGGGTATAATAAAAATAACGCCAGACACAGTAAATAGATTTAATTGTAATAATTTCTAAAAATTTAGTAACCATTTTGAAAGAAATTTACAAAAGTTCCCTGATGTGTGTACATTTGTCGGAGTTCAAAAGCAACAAGACAAAATGTGGTACTTGTTACTTCTTTCTAATGTTTATAATTTTTACATTTTATAGCGTATTGAGCATAGCTATACCCACGTCCGCTTCCATTAAACAAATTCGAACCACTTGCCCGCCATGACTTAACGAAACAGTGAAATACCGTAAAAATAAGAAAAACTTTTCAAAAAATATGTGAAAAGTCATTAAACAACTAATTCGGCTACAAGGTATAAACTTAGCAACCTCAACTAGCAAAGTTATTGCAGATAAAATTTTCACTTCTTACTAATCCTAAAAAATTTTACAAAGATATCAAAAGAACTATCTTTATATATCCCTGATCGATGTCGTTTATTAGCTTTGACTCCTGTGGTGCTCTAGAAAACGTAAATCTCTTTGCCGAATGTTTCCGACCGTACTTTTCTAATGCTGATGACGGACGATGAATCAAATAATTACTCATATCAAATCAATCATTCCGAATTTGATCACTTCGGAAAGTGATATATTGCAAGCTTTAATGTCGTTGAAATATAATTATGTGCCAGGGAAATGATGGCACTCCATCATTTATACTGAAATCATGCGCTGACGAACCATGTGGTGTTAAGGCAAAGATATTTACACTTTCTCTAAAGATAGCAGTTTTGTGTTGGAAGACTAGCTTTCCTATTTCAATTCACAAAAGTGAAAGTAGTCATCTTGTCGAGAACTGTAGAAGCATTGCCAAGTAGAGCGTTTTATTTAAGTAGTTTGAACGAATTGTTATCCGACAACAATTAGATTTTCCTATCAAGTCTTCTATTTCTCCATGTCGGCATGGATTCTTGAAAGGAACTTGTTAGTTTACTTGTCATATATTCAAGCCTTTTTCTAGTGGCTCTCAGACTGATATCATATACACAGATTTCAGTAAAGCTTTTTATTAGTTAGCCATAAATTTTTGATCTTTAAACGCTAGGTCATGGGCTTTCCTTATTATGGAATTGGATGCGTTCTTGTCTTGATAATAGGTCACTCAGAGTTTTTTCCAACTCCGTCACATGTGATGAATTTCCCGGGAAGTCAGGTGTCTTTTGCTACTTATCCTGTACATCGATGACCTCCCCTAGGGTTCGGCTATAATATGAAATTTAATATGACATCGCACTCTCATTTCATTCGAATGGATCACAGCTTCGATATATGGTGCTCGGAAAATTTCATTAATTCATACAAATTGGAAAATATGGAATCATTTATTGATATAGGATTATTGTTTGACCAAAGGTTTATTTTAATCTGCACTTTG